TCTTGGGTTTCCCCCTCCCCCTCCCCTCTCGAATAGGCTTATTATCTTAGCAGTTCTGCTCAATTGCCCCAGGTTATAAAATCAAGGCAGTCATGGTAACGAGGAAAATCCGTCGAAAAAGCTAAATTTCTGCCGTCATGAAGGCGCATTTTGCAGGTCGTAAGGGGTTGAAAAATGCTAACTGACCCATCGGTCACCGTGAACGCAAGAAGTCGTGCGAAAAGTCCTAAATGGATATCTCCTTATTGTAGCTGATTCTAGGCGAGGAGGGAAGGCTCGCTTGATATTTGGAGGGGCGAGAGCCCAGACAAAAGAGACAAGAGAGCACACAAACGAGCGAGACGTCAGACACAAACAAGGACACCTGTGTTCAGATGGAACCACTTGAGCAACTTTACGCCTTAATAGCCCTAGCTAGCAGCTTACTGACGCAAAACTGGCACAGTGCTGTGCCCTGCAGCCCGCAATATCTTTTCCCATATAGAGCGTTCTCTTATAAGTGAGCGCGAAGTGTCCCTTCACGTGTGACCTTCTTTAGAATCCGAAGGCTCAACTTCACCTACTTCATCACTTCCCTTACCACCTCTTCAAAGCTTTTCCTTTCTTTCATTTCCTTTTTCTTTTCCTTTCCTGCAAATTTCCTACAAAAAATCGTCGACTGTTGTGAGAGGGGTGATATCTCCATTCCCTCCCTAGACACCCTCTTGAATGATGCAGATCCTTGCAATGGACAAGTCGGCACCGAATACGACCTTCTCTCCTCGACGGCTCGAATACGACCGCGGTGTGGACTCTTCAACAAGAAAAGCCTCGCTTGAGCGTTGGCTACCTTTCATATGAATGAACTTTGGTGAAACTTCTTATTGATCGAAATATTTTTCTGAAACATTTCGTGGAATGCTGAGGTTGACAGAATTATTTTGGCTCAGAATAAACAAAGGGTTGAGCAGAGATCTCCCGTGGAAAAGACCTGGTCATCAATAGTGTTGTGGTCATTGTTCACTCCGCATCTATCCTTTTTTGACGGAACCGGCTGGCCTCAGAAATGGTCACGGTTTGTAGTGATAACGGTCGTGTAATGCGATGATAACAGCTATCACAAGAGTGCTGAGTTGTGGGCAAAAGTCGGACCACGGACGGGATTCGAACCCGCATCTACTTTTGCCCACAACTCAGCACTTTTAGTAGATGCGGGTTCGAATCCCGTCCGTGGTCCGACTTTTGCCCACAACTCAGCATTCTTGTGATAACTTTCGGATCGCGCACTGCGGCGTTAAACAGCAGTTATCAAACGATTGACAGCGTCTCTTTTCGCAAGCCATCCTACTACTGAGCCGCAGTCTTTTTTTTTTTTTCTTTTTCTTTTTCTTAATGGCCCTGCTTGTTGCACCCAAGATCTTTTATGAATGAATCTGACGGATAGGACTTCTTGTGCAAAGGATCTCGGGCCACTAGTCGCAAAGGATTGTGCAAACTGTCGAGGATTCAATGTTAGGGGGAGCGGAGCCTAAAGCCATTGTCGACCATACTAGCTCCACCCACCGCCTTAGCGGCCACCACCCAGAAGTAAGCGTTGCCCAATATGTTTCGATACGTGATCGCCACTCCCCTTTATTCGTGCTCTCACAATTTCCAAACCTTAAGATCTTTCGGCTCGCGCGTTGCTAGTATTCTCTGGCGTCAATCTCTACCTATCCAGTAGCCTCAAGGTCAACATGTGAGGATGAGTCGGTTTCCGATGATTTTATGTTTACTTTCTTCGTTGTAAGCCGTTACTACCACAAAGTTAGTTTTGAACATTCTCTCGTTTCGTCAGTCCACACAAGTAAAAGCTTTGGGGAAGTGCCGTATGTCACGGACACACACTCGACTGTTTTCGAGAAAGTACGGGTAGGATTTTTTGAAATCCCACACGACTTAAAAAATGGGCGAATTGTGTCGGCCTGTCTACTTCCAGGAACATGGTAGACGCGTTTCTTCGCGGTGTAATTTCGATATCTTTATCTTGTGTAATCGGAGACGATGGATAACCTCTCCAAACGGCATTATGCTTGTTTACAGTCTGCGACCCTGCGCCGCTAGAACGCTTCGACAAAATTTTTGATACGTATCGATGGCGGTTGGCGAGAGTCTGGCGGTTACGCGAAACGCTTTTGTACGTGAGGGCCGTGGGCGGGGCGCGCTTATTCCCCACGAAGAGGCAGGTGCCGCGCTTCAATTGAGGCACGCAGCACGCCATTCTAAATTATCTTTGGAGTATCTGTAATGTACTGTAATTGGTTTATTATCGACATATACTTACCTCATTGATTTCCTATCGACATATACTATCTCGAAGGGTTCACTTTACGCATGCACACCCTCGAACTCATTGTGTTCATCAGTACCAATCATTAAAAGATCACTCACTTCAATTCATGGGCAAGGCGTGATCTCCCTGGCGTAATCCCGCCTCTTGTGGAGCTCGTTGCTCCCTCGACACATCGCCACTTTCTCCGATACAAGACGTCTGTCGTGGTCCTCATTTCACTTTGGTCCCTCTCGATGACGTCATTTCGTCACTTCTTTCGTCTTCTCTTTGGCCAGGGCACATCGTCTTTGGGGCGTTCTCAGCATGAGGCGTATTTGGTCACAGGTCGTATCTAGTTTCGAGGACCTTTTTGATCATTGGTTTATCCCGTTTTGGATCCTCTACAGCACCCATACCCTAGTGAGGCGACAGTTGCAGTAGTAGAGGGGCTGTCACTCCCACTAGCCTCCTCGATCTACAGGTGGGAATTCTGGGGTGCTCGTCTAGGTGGGGGTCATATTGAAGGAGAAACTTTGGGGTGGGGGGCTCATAGCAAGCGAACCTCCCCCGATGTGCTAGATTGAGGCATTCCTATTCGCTTGATGAGCCAACATGATCCGAAGAGATCGTGGTAGTTTCAAGGTTCATCTTTCATTGAGGAAGAATTGGGAGGAAAAGCACTGAGACCGACCAGTTGCTGCAGTTTTTGGTTGACGTTCAATCTCAGGCGTTGCAGAGCATATCCGAACGCGTTTTAGAAAACGCTTTCGCAGTCTTTGACCAGTTGTTACAG